CCTTTATTAATAAAAATTCACTGTTTTTTTTTTTGTGCCTCAAAATGTCCATAAACTAATAATAACAAAAATCAAAGAAATACATAGATATTTTCTTCTTGTAATTATAATATATATTATTTTTATATAGGTAATTGTATAAGTACATTTTGAGGAAAGTAAATTACCTTTTCTGACTTTGATATTTTATTTTATTATTTTCATATCAAGGTATACATGAACTGATCTATGTGATTATTTAAGATCAAAAGAAGTCTATTATATCATTATATTCTCTATATATATTTATATAAAGCACATTATTTATCATTAAATAAGATTATCTCTTACTTTTTATTACATGTAATTTTCAGAGTAATTTGAATTGATTATTATCATAAATAATTCAAGCATTCAAGTGTCAACAAAATGGAGTAGCATGAAATTTTTTACAGAAAAATTCAATAATTTCCCACAAATTATTATGAGAATTATATTGGAAAGCAAAAGAAATTTCATGTGAAAGTATAATATCATATAAAGATCATATGCTTATAGAAGTTAAGACATCAGAGAAAGTCAGTGTTTATTGTACATGAAGGCAACAAAAAAAGCATTGACATTTATTTTTCCTTTGACTTTGACTTTGACTGATTATCATGGAAATCTATGTGCTCAATTGTTTCTTGTGAAATATTGTGGGCCGTGTATTAAAATGAACTGTAACTGAATGTCAGAGTGAATCTAAAACTATATGATAAGTAAAGTGTATATCATATTGATATATGGTGGACAAGGACTAGATGTTTAAATGTGTATAAAGATGGCTAATATTATAATAACTCTTCTCTATAATATTATTTATCTAAGACTTAAATTATTCTTAAATACATTTATTCACTGTAGTCACCATTTTACTCTAAATTCAATGTAAACAGTCCAAATTGTTTGCCTGTTTCTTCTGAATGTTGACTTTGTATGCTGAACGGGTTGTTGAAAAGTGTGAATAGCCCTATATTACTGGTTGTTGGTGTCATTGAAATGTTCTTAACCAAATGTAATTATTGACATTATTTTGCGACTTTTTACCTATTGTAAAGGCTTTTGTCCAGTATTTTTATTCAGATATTATTATATTGATGGTATTCAGTTTATGTAAAGTTAAAATTGTGATGATTATAATACATTTAATATTATTTTATCATGACTTAAGATAGTATTCTAATTTGATGTAATAAATGTCTAGGGTGTATGCACTTTTGAAATTTTCGTTGACATCCCAACAATTGAATTTTCTTTTGTAAAATGAGTTACATTTCTTTTACTGAGTCTGTGTTTGAATAGGTATTTTAAAAATTAATCTGTGAACATAATAAGAAGCTCATATCATTCGAAAAAAACTTTAAGAAATGTAAAATGACATTATTGGTATGCACAAACATTATGTCTTTTACTAAGTCAACATTTCATAACTATGATAATATAATTTGAATATTTGATAGGTGGTTTTGAAGTTGAAATAATCTGCAGAATGAAATATGTATTTTGCAGTAGACAGTAAGATTAGGATTATGTCAACAGAAGGGATTAGGTAATAGATATCCTATATATTCATCTTATATTTTCACTTAAGAAACGCGAAAGGTAATCCACATATTAATATTGATTTAGGAGAGTTAGACCCCCTTGAAACTTGTGAAAGTGTTGAATAATAATAATATAAGATATAAGGTAATGTGTATGTGTATATTGAAGGTAAATCTAAGATCAAGTTACTGTGAGTATAATTTTATTAGTATTATACTGTAATATTATAGTAAAAGAGAGAAATTAAGGATAACAATAGGTGAAAGGTGATCACTGGAAGAATTTTATTATATGTACATGATGTGAATTGGTGTCATTTATTGTATGGTTTTGAATAATTTACTTGTCAAAAGCAAGTACATTCTGGCTCTGGTTGACCTTGACTGCATTTTTCCACTATGGTAATAATTGTGGTTATTGTTTTTAGTGCAGACTGGAATGTCTTCTTTTCTTGCAAACCAATCAGATGAGAATTTAGACTAAATCAGATCACATGAAAACCAGAAAACCACAAAGATTTAAAAATATTCTTGGCAATCCTTATTCAGGTATTTCCTGTTTGAGATAATTTTAGACATGTGACGTCTTGAGTTCTTGCATGTTATCTATCACATTATTAAAGGAAAGATTTTGTAGTTCATTAAGGCATTGATAGTTTATCCTAAAATAGAACAGCATTGGTCATCTATATTAGTCTCATCAAAAGCAGAAAGATAGTAGATATAACTCCATGATTTCATTTCTCTAGAAGATTTGATAAGTAGTTTTATAAAGGTCATGAAATTGATTTTCAGTATTCTTAACTCTAGTAAAAATTGAATATAAATAAAAAAAAGCAGATTAATGAAATGGTAACAGCTGTTTTTTTTTGATAAATCATACACAAAGAAAACAACTTAATTGACAATTTCTGTATTATAATTAATAAATAGTTTTGGTACATGATTTATGTAAGGTTTGTATCAATTGTTTATTGAGTTTAAATATATACATAACAGCATTATTTTAAAGGAACATCCAATTTTTCCTTGATAGTTGAATTTTGACTTGGCGCTGACCTTTTGGTTTAGGATTTTGAAATAGGACATATTCTTGATGTTGCAGTGATGGTTTACTACCAATCATTCTGAACATTCCTGTGATTATTATTTTGTTTCATTGTATAGACAACTAGTATGTAGGCTGATCTTAGTTATTTTATCAGCAATTTAATCATGAATATTTATCTTTATTTTCAATTTCACTTCAAAAGATTTGACATACTTCAGATAAGATTGATACAAGAAAAATTCAAGAAGAAACTGTGAATTATTTTGTGTAAATAAGATGATGTATTGATATGTAAATGAGAAATTTCCAAAAGAACGAAATACTCTTTTAATTTTCATGGCTTTATAAAATGCAGATTCAAAATTGTCTCTTTTGGACATATTTGCTATTCCTTGTCACAAAGTTTGAAGTCAGGGTATTTTGTATTTATACTCAAGTTGAAAATGAATCCATTTAAGAAAACGTTGCCAATTCTGTAAAGTTACTTTGACATGCACTTCTTGCTTGGGATGTTTTTTCCGTTCGAACGGCACGTTGTGTACTAACATACAGAAAACCATGTCTAAAAGTATGAACACAATTTATACCTGGATCGAACTTCTGCTCTTATCAAGAAGAAAGATAGACATGAATATTTATGAACTAAAGGATAGTGTCTTATAAGTTATGTGTCAGTTTTATCTGAATGTTATATAATGTACTTCAGTTAACTATGATAAACTTATCAACTAGTAGTTTAAATACCAGAATTATAACCTTATTTTAAAAATTTATCTTCAATAATTGATCTAATCTTACTCTCTTGACTCACTAAATTAGCTAATTAGACTTCAGTAAACCATTATTTTATCAGAAATCTTGTTGATTTTCCAAATTCAGATATAATGTTATCTTCAACATTCAAAATGTTGCCATGATCTTAGTAACTATTTTAATCAATTGTTTTAAAACTTTTGTTTCTTTACAAAATTTGTGGGTTAATTAGAATCAAATGTTTTATAAAAACTGTTTTTTATCAAATTTTCAGTCTCAGTTAAAAACATAATTTTTTTCAGGTGTGGAATTTGAGATAAATTATTGAAATCAAGAGATTGACTGTGATTATGTAGGCCTATAGATATTGATATTTCAAGCTTATCCCTCATATCAAGATTGCAGGATATTGTATAGGGTTTACCTGTAACCCTTTAGAAATTAATAAAAGAAAATAAAAATATAATGAAAGCAGCTGTCAATATGGTGTCAATAACAAATATAAAGGCTTGACCACCCATATCAATAACTATTATTACTGTATATTGTGAGTTGTATCGAGTTATTGACACTGAATAATAACCTTTACTAAAGATTAGTTCTAGATCACTAAAGATATAATATATTTCTAATATTATAATGAAAGTAGTATATGGTGTAACTTGTACTGTTTATAACTCTGTTATTGTTTAGTATTAATCTCTATTGATCTCAATATTATTATTATTACATCAATTACTATATTCAATACCCAAATACTCCTTCTACCAATAAATTTATTTTAATTCAAAATTGAATCATTTGAAATACATTAAGTCAAGTGTAGTAAAATTGTTAGAATTTTTGTATTAAAAACAAGTTATTTTTTAAATAGCACAGTAAGTAGTTTATAATAGATTCATAACATTTGAAAGGGACAGAGACCAGACACATAGACCAGACACATAGACCAGACACAGGTTTTATCTGAAAAAAGTCTATTTAGTATACAACTGCTTTGGCTTCAATAAAAAGGACAAATAAAGCTTTGGGGTATAATAAAAATTTAATCATATATATATATCACACAAATTTACTTAAAAACTTGATATTTAGGTCAAAATGATAGTAATATTATGAGGTTATTAGTTTCTACTTGTAAATAGCCTAGGGGTAAATTGGAGGGATAAATATCAAATCAATTATAGACTACTTACAAACTTTTTACGTTTTGTGATAAACTTTTTATTTCTAATTTTGATGAATTAAATCATGTCTTGTACTAAAGATAAATGCATTTCTAGAGTCTTTTGGTGGAGTTTTAGCTCTCTTAAGAAATAAAAACAACAGTAATGTCTACTTTAGTTGAAGAGTTGGGAGACTAAAGGGAGATAACTGAAACAGTTTTCAATGTTAAACTTTTGACAAGTAAACAAAGGCCAGGTACCACCTATACAATGAAAGTATTATTATTAGTAATAATAAATACCCATAAAATGATAACATATCAAAAATTAATGTCAAGAGTTCTCAATGTTTGAAAATCTCTGTTTTAATGACAGTTTGAGCACACTAAAGGGACGTAACTCTATCAAGTACACTTGAAGCTTTAGCCACAATTGATTTATAGCACCCTCCACATTGTTTGGCAGATTTAAGTGAATTTACAAGACATAATATTAGTTTTATGAGGTGTTTATTAGAGAAATGTCTAATATTATATCATGAGGTTAGTTTAATTGTTATTTTGTTGTATTCTGTGTATTATATATGTTAAAGGTATGTCTTTCCAGTATAATTAACAACAATAGATATTCTTTCTATTTTATTGACAAAATCATTAAAAGCAGAGCAGTTTGAAAGTCAATTTATTTAAGTCAATTTATTAAAGTCAATTCTTATATTTTTTCTATTTTTTACCTCAGAGATGTAAAGAAAGAGGTATATTTCATTTCAATATCATCCACAATAATCAGGCAATGGTTCAAAATGAGATTTATATTAAAGAATTTTTTAACTGGATGAGTAAAATGTGTAATTTAAAAGTGTTTCAACTAAAGTATTTTTGTAAAAAGTCACAATTTAAAAGTGAATCAGAATTAGGGAATGTGGAAGGTTTAAATTGAGTGTATGTAAAAGAAGACAAGGAGTTTTAAATCATTTCAATTCAAGCTAATTGTATGTTTGCTTTTCTCTTTCTTCTCCTAATTCTGTTTTATATCACAGTAATCCTTCACTTACTTATAGAATAAATAAACCCTTCCTTTACTCTACACTTTTATAAGGTCACCTTGACTTCTGGTTAATTAAATTTATTTAATCAATCAGAGCCAATTTGATTTCAATTAATTATTTTATTCTTTCTTATTTGTATGTGATATATGCATATTACACAAAGTTTCAAAACTGTAAGGGCTTATGTAGCTTTGCAGAAAATATATGTTTATGGAATAAGGTAAAGTTATTCATTATTTTCTATTGATAATAACAAATTCATATTTTACAGTAGCAATTGTTAGTTATTTCTTGTGATATGATAACAAATTCCAAATTGACCAAGTAATAAGTAATTATATGCAAGATCACAAACATTCTGAGAGATTATCCTTGGTTAATCTGCTATAATTACCTTTAATCTGGATCAGATTTTTTTTATTGGGGATTGGAAATAAGTAAGAAATATTTTCCCCGACGTGGGATCTATCTACATTATAATAACACACTTCATTCAGGATGTCTTGAACAAAGGGTGAGTTAAACATATTTCAGTTGGAGAGTGTCAAATTTGATTTTTGGGGAGATAGTCGTGCATTATATATGAATATGTGTACTGAAATGAAACCTTGAAACTTTGAAACTAGTTATATCTTTAGCCTGATAATTCCTCAAGGATCACACCAAATACTTCATTTCATTTTAAAATGTTGTTGAGACTTCTGATAGATGAAAATAGCACCGTGAGGACTAGTATAATAATAATAATAGTAATGGCTTGAACAGATAAGGTTAATGACATTTTTTACTGCACATTAAAAAGATTATGTTGATTCTAAAGCTTTAGAAGTTTAAATTGAAATAATTTGTTTTGTTTACAAGATAATAATCTTATTTTTTGACAAGTTACAGACAGATTCAAGTGGTTTTGTGTGTGTTTTATTTCAAAGTTCTTTTTCTAGATGATTGATTACCATGTTTGTATTTTATTACCTAATGTGACCTCCCTGAATGTCTGTTTATTCAAAGCATACCTCTCTGGGCCTAGCTTGAACCTAAAAATTTTGAAATCAATAAAATAGGTAACTCACCTTTACAAGATGATGTCTTGATATTTTATTTATACATTGAATAATGTCATCAAAGAAAGTTATGTACTAACAAACAGGGGCAATACCATGCAGTGTGCAAGGAGGAAGAAATTGCCTCAACAACAGCATTAGCTTACTCTTTCTCCTTTTCCAACTTATTTAGGATTATTGACATCATGTCATGTCTCTAGCTAACAGAGCTTTGGTTTATTGTTTATCCCAACTACAAGACACCTTTCCATGTCAGAAAAGAGAAAACTTACATAAAAAAATATTGCTTGAATTGAAGTATTTTATTTAATCCAATATTCTGTACCTTATTAGAGGAGTGTTATAATGATACAAATAGTACCAAGTTTCTAGTTTGGTTCAGAAAGAAATAAGAACACTATCAACAAAATGACTTGTTAAGATGAAAGAATTACTGAGTCTTTGTCCATAGTTAGGTAGTGTCCCTCCTGTATTTATTGACTAACTATTAATGTTGACTCTCTCAATCTGCCTTTCAAGTTAAATGGTGAGGGTAAGGATAGAGGTATTTGGTCCAAATCTGTTGGTTGTAAACATTCCTTATTGACTCTCTGAATGTCTTTAAGCAGGATTTCAATGTTGACTATTGTTACTGTTTAAATATCCAGTATGGAACACTGTTGTTAATCATTATATGAACCCACTGTCAAAACGTTCTTTTCTACCTTAACTTTTACACAGAAGGATATGAGTCTAGTTTGGAGACAAAAGAATTCTGTTTACTGCATCAATTTCAGTTTTTGTGCAGTAATCTTTGATTTATTGTATTGTGTTTTGAGGAGTTGTGTTTGTTTATTTGGGTGAGAATATGTGTTCTTTGTCAACTCCTGTGTATTTGGTACATATTAGAAATTTAAAAAGTTTATTGTAAAATTGCTGAAATTGATTTTGACATTTTTAATTTTTTCTGATCTGAGGCTTAAGATCTGTGTACTTGATATGTACTCTTTAACATAATCTTATTGGTTTTATATTTTTATAGGCATTATAAGGAATGAATAGGTATTGTATTTTGTAACTTTTCTCTGGGGTGGGAAATATCTATGCATGATTTTATTCCATATTTTGTAATACTCATGAAGCTGTCTGTAGCTATCTGATGCTTGTAATGTTTGTTTTATGAGGTTGGTTAATTTGGTATTATGGTAGTATGGTATAGAAACATCAGTCTTATAATATATAATATATAATAAATTGATATATATAATCTGATATATAAATATATATCTTAAGTGAGATGAAAGTCCTGTAATAATTCTTGTTATTGTTCAGTTGCTCTATTACTGAAGTTTCCTTGTGTGCAAATTGGTAAGTGACACTGGTAGCTTTCAAAGAGATGCTCTTATACATTTTCAGTGGATAAGACAAATTAAAAAAAAATTATATGGTAAGGTGTATGTTTGCTATTTGGTTTTATGGTTGAAGGAACTTTCAAGGCGTTGATTTTATTTTCAAAATCAGAGGTTGGTTATTTTGATTTGATTTAATGATTTGATGATGTTTGAGTTTCTATTTTTTCATATTTTGGAATTATTATGGTTTATATTGAAGCTGACACTGCAGAGTTGATGGTTAACAGATGCTTCTGGGAAAGGATTGTAAAATAATATCATCCAAGTTGGTTGTCTTACTCAATTTCTGTTTTGTTTTGTTTTGTCTTGTTTTGTTTTTTGTGTCCCTTTCAAGAAATGTGTTATGGGTGGCACTCTGAAATTGTGCAGAGACATTTGATTTTCTCAATTTGATAAGGTCATCAAAGTTGATCCTATGACAAATTCTTTAAACTTCACTTATTTTTTAACGACCTTGAAGTGCATGAACTTATATAAGCTTTGGTGTCTTTTTGAACTAATCACAAGGGTTATGTTGAAAAATATAGAAATGGGAAATTGCTGGAAACAAAATATGTCTTGTGGTCTTTCCAAGTCTGTTTTTAAAGGATAATTTAGTTAATGTTGAACTGGCGTTTGTTGAATGAATCGATTAAGAACATGATTCCATGTGTAGAATTTGGTTTTTATTGTTGAATCAGCTGCACGAAAAATATGATCAAAATGCTTCGATATTTGACAGTCAGGAAATGAATTTAATGTTTTTGTTTGATAATCCAGGTCTGAAATCTGATATTGGATTTTTTTTGTAGATGAAATATTTGTTGTTCAATTTTTGAAAGTTATTCTCCTTCTGTTAAGGTTTAAGATTGGTTAAATTGTGAACATGTAATTATAAATTGTGTCAAAATGGATTATTATGAAACAGAATTAAAAAGTTTTGGAGTGTACTTCCATGGTAAGTGAATACTTTTGTATTTTGAAAAACTCTGAGGCATGCTATCAGAGAAAAGGGCCTTTAATAAAAGCTAAAACTAGTTTTTAGATTTGTCAGAATATCAGACAATCAGATTATCCTTAAGCTATGATTAAGTTAGGATATTTCAATCAACTATGGCTCGTAGAAGCAGCAATAAGAAAGACAATACAGATATTCTGCTTAAAACTCTAAAATGTAGCTGAATAAAATACTGTTTTTATCATATGAAATGTCATCTAAAATACTATTATTTTAAGTAATAAACTTCAAATGTAGATAAAATGTATTTTTTGAAAGAAACAAATTATTGATAGAAGTTTAAGATTTGATTCTCTTCCAAATTTGTGGTTGACTTTGGCAATTATCAAACTTTGTCCTTAATTTTTTAAACCACCTTGCCAGATTCCTATGTAGTTCTTTACATTAACCAAATCTAAGCCTAGTTGATGGAGAAAATGCAAACTTAAGAGCCACATTACTAGAATTTTAGAGACAAGGTGTTTGATATATCATAGTAGTGCCATGTATTAGATCTAACTTGTTACCTGTATCTAACTCAAACTATGTATACATTAAGATTGTATACCTTATTTGGGCACAACTATATTTTAAAGTGAAAATTGATTTTCCTAATCTGACAATATTGGTGATTTTATAATGTTGATTCTTTGGTTGTAAACATCATTGAACGTGATTTTGAAATTTATCTAGAGATAAGCTTATGGTAAAGAGGAAATACATAATGGTGATCTTTTTTAAAAATATTGATGTAAAATGTCAGCGATATAAAGATAAATCCCCTACTATTCCATGTTAATACCTTACACAATACTAGTGATATCCTCACATACAATACAATACACAATCTGTTGGTACTAGTTTATAGAGGGTTTTATGTAGATAAAAATCTAAACTTCATCACCAAGGCTCAAGTCAGTTCTCTCTTCTTTGTTAAGTTGCATGGTATTTTGAATATCGGTATTGGTATATGTATTTGTATCTTTTTACAGTAAGATTTAGTGGGATTATGTTATCACAGTTTTGCTCATTGATATTCCTATTTCTTAGTCATCATTAAGAAGATTCTAAACAGAGCTAGCTAGAAATAAAATATAATCTGACAAGCTTGCCAGCAATATCTTACAATATCTCTTATAAAGATTAAAACAATCTCCCTCATTTCCTTGCTATTTTCATTAAACTCATATCAAAATCAACATATCCAGATTAAATTCAATATCCTTAACTTCCCTTTGTTAGAAATTTACATTAAACTACCATCTTTATGTGTCTGGACTCAAATCGGAACAAACTTCAAATCAGGATAACATGAACTCTTTATCAAAGATTTTTACACTTTTGGTCATTTTGTACAAATACACATCATCTTCAAGACATCATAAAATATTTGTTATTAGAAAAGAACGATTTAAACCCAAATAACGAAAAAGAAATTGTGTTATAACATCCTGAGCTCTTCTAAAATCACTCAAATCTAAAAGGGAAAATTGTTTTCAATCTGGCTCTACTCCAGAATGGTCCAACATCTCGTCATTTGAATGAGGTCTAAACTTGGCATCAAGTCATGTTTAAAGCTGAGTTGTAGATTTTATGGTGTGATTGTACTGAATTCTTCCATTTATTTGCTCAGGAAGTTAATGTAGCTCCCGTTGACATTAAACCATTGAAAACTAACAAATGTCAAATTTCTTATTTGCAAATCAATATGTGCAAACTAGAGCACCTCGCAAATTTCACAAAATATTTTTTGTATTATATCGAATATGTGGTTTTCTCGGTTTAAACTTGGCAGTAAGAGAAGAAGATTAACAATGATCAAGTCAGATTTCTGTTCATTTCAGAATTTTATTAATCTTATAATCTGAAAAAAATAAACATTGTGTTTTTGGTGGTAGGCCTATACCTTAGTTTTCATTTTATGTGTAATTTGAGTGAGAAGTTTCTGGAATATTTATGCTATCTGTTCTTAGTGATTTCTCTAGGAGATATATCATGGATTAAAATGTGAAGATGTCTCTCTGTTTTGTTCCACATGTATGAAATATGGATTATGGAAATTTGTTTTGATTCAGAAATGAGATAAACATGTCAAATTAATGACTTTATTTAGTTTCTAGATATCACCTTCCTGATTTATGTCTGGTTATCAAAGTAACATCTTATCTTTTGATCTAGGCTATGATTAATAATTTATTTTGTTTATAGGCAAAAAATAAAAGTAAATAAAACTTTTGCAGCTTTAATATAGTCTTTGAAAATGAAACATTTCACCCCCTCTTCAAAGTTTAAATGTTAAACAATTATTAAGCCTAAATAGACATCGGTGGATACAAAATTCTTAAAAGCAGTGTGAAAATGAAATTTTTGTCAAATTTTTTATTACGATAATTTGGAAATGACAAATAATAAAAATGAATTTAATTCCCAAATTTGGTATAAAGTTTCTTTGAGTCTATGATTTTACTACATAATGATTAAATTCTGCTTGTTTCTGTTATGTTTTAAATATTGACAGTAAAATGATGTAAATTATGAAGAAAATAAAACAAGTAATTGTTAATGGTTGTACAACATTCGGACATAAAGTAACAAAACAATGGACCTCTTGTTTTGACCAATCATTAAATATTGACTTGACCGACTATAACTGGACTAAAACCCATCAGTAAAGTGAATAAGATCATGTCTTTACTCAGTAACAGTGATTCTCAAGGAATTGTTAACACACCTAGTTGTTAGAATGTCTCTCTGTTTGATTTTGGACTCAATAAAATGGTAGATAGTTGATGATGTGGTTTGTCACAATCTTACTCTAGTAACATTCCAACTATTTCTGTCGATAATCTAAACCTTGAACAATTTTGTTTTAAGCCAACTCCTGTTTTTAACCCAAAATCTTCTCCATGAAAGACTTGTTTCAAACAAACAATTGAAATGTTATTGTGACATTATTTTGCAGTTTTGTGGTTAAAATAATTAAAAACTTGCGAAAATGAGTTAAAATCTTACATCTCAAAGTTTGAAAAACACAACCTCAAACAACACAGATTTTGTCATTTATTTAACACAACACCTTCCATCTTCCTTAACACAAATACAAAACATGTTCCCATCCCATGCAAATTTACATGTACATCAACAGCACACCATGTAACAAATAAATAATGACATTTCTAAAAATAATATACTACAGTTTACTCATCAAAGAAGACCACGTGCTTATCCTTTCAAGAGTGAAAATTGAATTAAATTCATTTCCAAAATTCTTTTTATGTGTTAGGGCTATATTTTATATGTGTTATAATTTTATCTTTTCAGATCCTAATGACAAAGTTGAATCAGCCCATGACTCTAGTTCTGGCATCGCATCAGATGTGGCATCATACTACCCTCAAACCAATATGTCCACCTTTAAAGGGGATGCAACAGGATCGGACAAGACCTCTGAAGATTCTGGTCGAAAAAGTGTGTCTTGGGCGAGTAATCTTGACTCCCCAAGATCATCCAATCACTATGTTCAGATGCACATCTCAAAACAACGACAATCTCCTTCCTCACCTCTTTCCTACAAACATAAACAATCCATGTATAACACAAGTTGGTATTCAGACTCACATGTTGATAAATTAGAACAAAAACTTAGTGCTTTAAAACTTCCTCCTGAAAATGGTAAAATAACAACTCACACGAAAGGAAAACTTCCAAAACCTTCCTCATTTGATCATCTTCCTGATGATGTGGTTTTGAAAATATTTTCTTATCTTCCCAGTGATCATTTGTGCCGCTGTTCACGTGTGAGTAGACGTTGGTACGAGTTTGTTTGGGAGCCATTTTTATGGACTAAAATTGTGATAAATAACAGTGTTATAGACATTGATAAAGCTATTAAGATATTAACAAAAAGACTAAGTTATAATACTCCCTATGTTTGTGTTATACTAGAAAGAGTCAATCTGAACGGTTGTGAAATGTTAACAGATAAAGGTCTCTACACTATTGCCAAGCGATGTCCAGAACTACGTCATTTACAACTACAAGGCTGTCATAATATCAGTAACATGGCTGTATTTGAACTGGTGTCCAATTGTGTTAATCTTGAACATCTTGATTTATCAGGTAAATATTCGTCAAAATTTTCAGTTTTTATTCTACATTATTTACTGGGCTCTGATCTCTTTACCCAAGCATCATCCATCTCCTTGAATTTGTTTAACTGCTATGAGCAGATCATCACTTATGAAATTTCAATGGTTGTTGAACTAACCAATATTCAAATTAATCAAATTCTCTTCTTTTATACTTGCATGTAATGTTTACCTACTATGCATGATTTGATTGAAGTTTCCCTGCATCAATGATTTATCATTATTGACTTTATTTGTTTTAGACTGGTTTAATAGACATGTTTGGGTAGCATATAGCCTATTTCTATGTTTTAAATGTTTGTTTTCTATATTATTGCATGTTGAAGGTAAAACTAAAGTCATATGTGATTGATACCTTGTGAAATATCAATGTAAACAGCAAGAAAGAAAATGTTTCCAAGATTCGTGTTGCTTTGTTTCCTAGAGTAACATGAAGACTATATTTTTGCCTTCAATGTCTGATTACCTTTTTATTCTTTCTAATCTTTCAATCTTCATTTCATCCTTTTAATTAATCCATAACCACTAACACTGATTTTGGAGCTCAAGTAACAATGACAATCTGGTGTCAAAGGTAACATTTGTAGTAACACTGACAATCAGTCAAAGTTTACATTTCTTTTCTCAAACGTCACATAATGTCCTGGTGTCAGAAATAACTATCAACTTCTTGTGCCAAGGTAACATTGGCAATAAGCTGTGGAAGGAATTATTGACAATTTGGAGTCTTGTCAAATTGTGGAAACACCTTGGATGTTTCACTATAATAGGTAACGTTTGTATCCTACGAAGCAAAATTGCTGTTCAAGGGTGAGTACTAAGAGAAGCTGATGTGGTGAACACTACCAATTCAATTGTGTTTTCAACTTGTGGTAACTTACTGATCCAAACTTCAGATGTTTTCAGAATGTTTGGGGCTAAGGTTTTGTAACAGCTTAATGAATGTAAGTCTTGTCTAATTTCTACTTTCATTAGTGCTCTGGTTTTTTTTGTTTCTTTATTTGTGTGTTATCCTTCATTCTGGTGTCTGTCTTTGTGGTGTATTGGAATATAGCAACATATCACTTCTTTCTTTACCTAAAGCTTAACATTAACCCTTTATTTCCTACTGATATACATTCCTAATCTCTGCATCTTCCTTACTTTTCTTTATTAGCTTAATGCTTTAATGTAGAAAATTGGTATCACATCAAATATTTGCAGTTGTGACTTTCTTTTTATTTTTTTTACTTTCTTTCTAGGTTGTCCGTCTGTTACGTGTATAAGTTTATTAGATGGTGGATTATCCCATGGTGCACCTAGACATCAACAACAGATCTATCTTCGCTATTTAGATATGACAGATTGTTTTGCACTAGATGATGATGGATTAGGAGTCATTGCTATGCATTGTTCACAATTACAATTTTTATATCTACGAAGATGTGTTCAACTCACTGATGAATCTATGCAATATCTAGCGAATTATTGTAGTACTTTACGTGAACTAAGTGTAAGTGACTGCCGAAATATTACAGACTTGGGTTTACGAGACCTCTCGAAATTAGGAGATAATTTGCGTTATCTCAGTGTTGCTAAATGTGACCGCATGTCAGATGTTGGTGTTCGTTATTTAGCTAAATTCTGTTCTAAATTACGCTATTTAAATGTGAGAGGATGTGAAGGGGTATCAGATGAATCTTTGGAACTACTTTCTGCCAGTTGTCCGAGACTACGATCATTAGATGTAGGAAAATGTGATATTTCTGATCAAGGTTTAGTAGTGCTATCTCAGAACTGTCCTCAATTACGAAAATTGAGTTTGAAAGCCTGTGATTCTATAACAGACAAAGGTGTTGTTCAGCTAGCGTATTATTGTCGAGGACTACAACAATTAAATATACAGGACTGCAATATATCAGTGGAAGGTTATAAAAGAGTAAAGCGGTACTGTAGACGGTGTATCATTGAACATACTAATCCAGCTTTTTATTAATTCTGTTTTAATCTAATATTACATTCTGAAAATCTCCATGGCAACAGTTTCTGAAATTGAATTTTATCCTGTTCTTAGACTTTTATAAACTTTTATTAATGTGTTCATGCACAAGGAATGACATAAAATAAGCTATGCAAATTTACTGTTAAAATGAATTATTTGATGTTTTGGCGCAATCTATTTTTATCAAGAAAACTACCTATAAGAATATGTCTTGCAGGATCACTGTGCCGTCAAGGATGATATTTCTTATCTGTCTTATATGAACCTGCCTAGTGATATTGTTTTATTATTTGTGTATGTTGTAAACTAATTATATGTCCATTGTTATATTAGTGTATTTTACATCCAATTAGAACCAATATCGTTATGAATATAGAAAAAAGCTAATCTATTTGTGTGTGATTTTAATGATTCATGATTATGTCAGCTTTTTATGGAACAACCTGGTGTCAAATTGTCTAGAGCTATTCCAGATTCAGTAACTAATTTTCTATACTGCCCTTTTGCATGGTTTCATCTCTCCCCTTCCAGGCAATTGTTCAATTTCAATTGGTCACTCTCTAACTGTTATTTCAGTGCTACAGTATCCTCACTGTCAGAAATCACATACAATTAATCCACTTTTGTGTATGTTCCATGCCTTTGCATTCCTTAGAACTATTTAGAGCTTACAACAGTATTCTCAAGTTAAATGTTGCAAAGCTACTAGTTGCTTATCCCAAGAAATGCCTGAGTCAGGACAGCTTGCAATTCAACCATCTTATCAGATCAGACAATTAGCATCAGTACAGGTTCACATGGGCGAATTTAACGAATAGATATAAATCCTTACGGCAAATTCTTCCGTGTAATCACAGCTTTTACAGGGAGGTTGATAGACATTAAATCATAAACTGTCAGACATTGCTTCAAACTTCCACCATAAAGGCTAGCGCACACGAGAGCTCCTAGCTGAGCAAAATTTCCTTCGTGTCTCTCAGCTCAGCTCAGCTCATAGCTCTCTTGTGCGCAGAGTTTACTTAAGGTTTTTTTCATTCGAGGCATTAAGGAAATTATCTGTCGTGTGTGCAGGGGAAACCGACGAAAGCTGCGAGCTGAGCTAGGAGACACAAATGAAATTTTGCTCAGCTGGGAGCTCTTGTGTGCTCTAGCCTTTACACACCATCTAATTTTCACATAACCAATATAATATTGATCTGTGATCAAAGTCAGTGCTTTGGTCTCTAAGCACCTTACACAGTTATAAAATCAAAGGGCTTCAAAATGTTAAACTTTCCATTCTAGTAGATTTTGCATATCTTCAGCACATTACTAATATAAAATATCATGCAAAGAGTTGTTACTACACCCTGGGTTATTAAAGGGAGGTAACAACATAATAAATTTGATAAATTCAATGAAACTAGGGATATGGTGAGTTTACAAAATGGTGTTTATTATCAAATATTAGTTCAGCCCATTCACACAAAATAATACAATGGATGCTAATATGACTTATCTCAGTCAGGTCATCTAAACTTCAACTCTTACAATATAAGCTCATACTTGTAGCATTGTAAATTGTAGGCTAGACAGAATTGGCTGAACTGGAAAATGCTTGCTAGTTAACCCTTACTGGTTGATTTATTTACATGATAACAGAAGAGGTAAAACAATATAACTCATAATAAAACACTAATTTATAGATAAGAGGCATTTTAATGCTAAAAATTGTAAAGTGATACAAATTATTGATTTGTTACTATAGCAACAAGGCAGAATTGACAACACAACCATAGATTTATGAGTATAATAGAATAATCATAGAGATATAATAATTCAGTCAAAATAAAAAAAACTGCTACAAATCTTTCATAATAACATAGAGATATTCATTTATTTCTTATTGACTAGTGACCTGGAATTTCTTTCAGAGAACATATAAAAGGGTACTTCAAACTTAGGTTTATCTAAAAAAAAAAAAAAGGCTTTTTTGTTCATATCAGATGTAATGATTTACCAAACCAAGAAGAAATTCTAACAAAATCACACAAAAGAAGGGGAAAATAGCTCAGCATGCATCATTTTAATTTCTACTTGTCTTGTCATGAGTTTTTGGCAAATATGATTAAAAAAATATATAAAAAAAAAGATCAATAATTTTAGCATATAAAAACCAATAAAGGAACAACATCAATTTGGTAGTAAAAAGAATGTAAAAGTAAAGGTGGATAGATGTGGTTATGCTAAAAATCTAGAATATATGAGAAGCAACAAGTTATTATAGCTCAGAAAAATATTGACTCAATACACAAACAGTCAACTTGCATTTGATATTAGCATACTCAGGCCTGGCTTTCCATTCTACCTCAAATTATACAATGTATTAATGTCCATGTCTATGTTTTAAATTCACCACTGATGTGCACAAATATAAAACATTTGTAGACATTTACTATCAATATTGTTCAAATTTACATAGAGAATAATGTATCAAAGGACATTCAAGATATTTATTATATTTATCAGAAAGGAAGAAAGAAGTATATTTTACAAGGATAACAACCTCGGTTCACAGTTAAGGATCCTTTCTACTAGCTGGTCCTTGGCCAAACCTCTTGGCATTGATCTTTCCCGGATTATCCGTACCCATTTACAGTTGGGTCGACTGGAATTATGAGTGAAGATGATTCATGTAGTAACTCTAAACATAGGCTTTATCAGCTTATAGAGCTCAATCGGGTGAATTTGAGCACTATCAGGTAGTAAAGAAAATATTGAGACAAAGAGTTGTATCAGAGTGAGAGGAGTATTATTCACCAATTCCATAGCACTTGTTGATATCTTGGGAACACTTTGATTCTTATTCAGTTTATCATGTAAAAGTCAAAATGTTTCCAATAGACCTTATTCACTGGTCGGCCATATTGAATCCAGAATGTTGTATCACTGCAGTAAAATTGCCACCTTGAAATCTTTTAAGCCTCCAATCCCACCAACTCAAAACTAAGCATATTTTACATCATTTTACATTCAGAATTGATTAAGCTATATAGTGATACTTTTAGATGAATTTTTATCTTCACACATTTCTGAGTTTTAAGCCCATTTTCTTGCTGTTAATCAGGTGTTCAGTGACGTCACATAGGCTTTTCATTTTTATGATGACGCCATCTTATCAATGGATGGAGCTATTTCTGTTATAAACTCAGTTTCAGTGTCTCAAAACAAGGTGTGAATAAACCTATTAAAGCCAAATTCCTTGAAAAATAAAAATTAGGAAAACTCTGATTCCTGCAAAGTTTGAAAGCTAAAACAAGCCTCAAACTTAACATCTACTACAAAAAATTACATTGATTAAACATTGGAACACACATGATACATATACACTTAAAACTCACATTAAAGTAATTTGAATCAGTGTCTGAGTCAAATAAAAACATATTTACATATTATTTGGACAATACACAATAAAAACATTACAAATATCAATAGTATTGGATTCAAAGGTAAGGCTGATATTACAATACACATATCTATAATTGTAATTCATACAATGATTCAATATCCCAATTTGAGTGAGAGACTGGAAATCAAACGTGATGGATTTAACACATTAAATTTTTTTAGTTTTTATGATAAGATCTTACAAGCTTTTTTTTATTCAGAAACAAATATGTGCTATGGAATTGTTTCAGTGAATTTCATTACTATGCTCATATGCCACATGTGGGTATTTAAACCAATAAGGATTTTGATAGCTAAAGACAAGCTTGTGTTATTTAATCAACCCTCGCGGTAAGTCAACTTCTTATTTATTATGAATATCATTTATCCACCTTACATTGTATTGAAAGATTTTTAACCAAAGATAAGCTCTGCTTAAAAATTCAGCAAAAGAAAACATGATTGCTATTATTTTCTGTTATGAGGAACAATTGTTTCAATCCAAAGATTACATTTTTCTACTATTCACAACTAGATTTTGAGCAGATTGTAAATTATAATCAAGGATCTATTATGTCATTATAAAATGTTTTTAAGTAGATTCAGGGATGGTTAAAACAGATTCATCTAAAATAACGACATCATATGGAGCACAATGGGGTAAATCTAACTTTAAACACAACCATCCATAAAATCCTTTCTCAAAATCAAACACTTCACGAAGCCATGACTTGTATCTCCAGGAAACCTGAACAATGCATGAATAAAATGCAATGCCAATAGCACATAACCCAACTGTAAATGGAAAAGTTAAAACTAGAATCGGACACACTGTTATTTTATGCCATATTGTCCGTTCTTCACTAAAATACAAATATATATTATAAAGGGTGATCACTCCCATATAAAATGCCATACCAAGGGACATTACCCATGCAATAGGAATAAAAATCACAGAAAATAAAACTATGTGTGGACCCTGATTCAGACCACAACCACATTTGTCTTTTTTGTCTTTGGAGGCTAGACGTTTCAATTCATGATCTGATAAATCAAGTTGAACATCAACTGTTTCTCCAGTCTGGTAGCCCTGGGTGACTGTTCCAGGAACTGTGATCAACTGACCATTTTTGGTTTCTATTGATGAAGGTTTCTTTGCAAGTGGCTTTGTTAGTTCGATCCACTCTTTATCAGCAGCCATTATATTATATTATCAGTGGTCACACTTGTAAACATCCTTTCCCCATCGCGTCTGTAAAAAACATTAACAAATTTCAAATTAGGCTAAGCAAATTACATAATTGTTGAATCAAAGACCACAGGAAAACGGAACTCATATTATAAATTGTTGGTATAAAACATATTTGTCAAGCAATAACCATCCAATCACTAGGTAAATAAAATCAGCTGTTAGAACCAAAACAAAAAGTAACTTTGCAGTTTGTGTTAACTCAAACTGGATTATAGTGGATAGGGAACTTCTTAAGAAGTCAACTCATTACACAACATGACATTAACTGTTAATATTTCTGAGCAGTAGCATATTGTTATCAATGAGACAATTACTACTGCGATTCCATTACCAAGAGATATGTGTCATGATTGTCGATTTTCTCCTTGAACATTTCATGACACTGTAAAAATATGATGATGACTGTTTCAGTGTTTCTTTGTTCTTGATGTTATATTAATATTGATAAATTGTAGGGTGCATGGTGTCACGGTGTGTAAATTTACATCCTCACCTTATGATCTTGAATCCATTTTTGTTTTTTTGTGCATTTTGATGATAAACCCAGAAATACTAAAAAAAAAATAGAAATGTCAACCTAACATAGTCTTGATTTTCTAGTTTCTTACTTGAGTTCCTTGAAAGCTATATGTTATCTTGTGTGACAACAAAGACTACTTTAGGATCTAAGCGGCAACAAGTGCTTTCACTTTCACTTCCGTCAAAAAGATCGCTTCAGCGTTATAAAAGTATGAGTCATCGTCTGGGAGTTCAATAGTGATCCTAGACTAATCAATCACAACAAGTTAAACTTATGACATAAAGATTGAATTAACCCCAACACTACTGGCACAAACCAATCTCCAATATGAAAGAAATTTAATCCGATTGATTATTTCGATATTGTGTCACGTGACTACATATCATGTGACTTTACTTCCATAACATTATTTTGATGAGTGAAGCTGTCACCGGCTGTTTTCATTGAGCAATTGAAATTTTGCTCATTTTGCAATATTCTCTAAACAGCATATTTTATCAACATTTGTTTCGAAGGTAAGTATTATCGGTAATAGTAGGCTATATTATTTTATGGTTGAAATTTGACAAGATTACAAGGTCATGTAGATCTAGGTTTTTGTACATTGACTGATTGACATTATTTATTGTAACAACCAACTATTAATTACTATAGCTGCTATTATAATAGGCTTGGTGGTGGTACGGCTTCCAGTGGTTTCCCCCCTTTTCAATTTCCACCCTAGTGGTTTTCCCCCAGTGGTTTCCTCCTCTATAAATACAGTACTCATCTCCATTCAATAAAAATGCTAAATTTTTCTCCCTTACGTTTGGGTTCTATAGAGCCTTCACCGGCTCAATAGATTTAACAATGTAAAAATCATTATTAATGAAATGTTGAAATACTTTGAGCCAATTGAGATGAGGTACCAAATCAAGTTTAAACTGTCATGATATTGAGCAAGAGTAGGCAACAAGTAGGATCAAAAAAAGAATAATATTTAATTGTAAGTAAGCGAAATAAATGGATGTGAGAGGGCTATACAAAGTCTACGTCAATTCTTAGACTTGAATAGGAAGAAGCTGGGTAATCATAGCCATTTTCCAGTTGACAGCTAGATTTAAAAAATCTAAGCAATATGTCAATAAATACCTGATTGTATTGTATGCATAATGCAATACAAAGTTAGTATGTGTATCCAAACATTAGATTCTGATTCAAATGACAAATTTTTCTACAAGATGGGTGGTAGACCAAGTTTGACAGTGGTAGACAGCGGATCAGAAAAGTGTCAGATTTATTGATGTCCCATGGCAATTTATACTCTTTTGAAGCAGATCATATGATTTTTTGGCACAATTTGTTACCAGCATCCAGACACTGCAGCATTACTGGCAAAAGTGTGTAAACCTTAAAGGAAACTGTGACAACTTGATATGAATGTTTCACAGTTAAACTTAGATCTTTTCAGCTATTCCTCATTTATGGATCTATAAGTAAGTACTCAGCTCAAAGAAATCTTGATTCCCATATATTTTTCTGAAATTTTGCTATTGAAATTAATTATTTTTAAGAGAATAAGGTTGTATATATAGTAAAATGTAAGATCTGTTTCAATGAATTATATACTAATTGTATTGTCTGAGACAAGTTTATGTAGAAATAATGATAATATTTAATATCATAGTTTTGTTAACTGATATTTCCCTATATCTGAATTTTCTTAGGCTACTGATGTACAATGATGTATCTACCGGGTATGACAGCTCTTTGTAAAGGACTGTTAATGTAAATTCAAAGGACACTGAAGAGTGCGGGATATGTCAATTTTTGTTAAATCATATTGCTGTAGCCTAAAAGACTTAGTGTTTCCGGTACGATTGAAGGAACAGATGTTGAATGAGCTCCTTTGAGACCTACAAACTAATCTTCCTAAATATCGATTGATATATTGACAAATATTATAGAACTGCTAGACCCAACCCATTTTAACCCTATTAAATATAAAACAATTCATTCTCTGTAACTAGTTTAAATATTGACCGATGTTTGTCTCATATGCATGAATATAAATGATTTATTAAGTAATGATTGATATCTTAAAAATCTCAAATAATTTGAGCCACTTCAGAGAAAACACTTTATTTTTTAAAGAGAAGAGAAAGAAAATCTAAGTCATGTTAATATTCTGAACCAGAAGCCATTTTGATGAGCTAAATATCAGTAGTACCCAATAAAAAAGTTTTCTGATTATTAAATATATGCTAATTAGTGCCAGTATGATATATCTGTGAATTTGAAGACACTTCTATAGGGCATGTTAGGATATGCATATTGTATCAAATGGTTGTTCATCAGGCATACCAGACAAAATACACACATATTACTTGACAGCATCCAAGTGCAGAAGAAATCCAAGACAATTAATACATTACTAGTCATATTTTTTATCTTTTATAAACAGTAAGTTGTAAAGAATTACTAAAAGGATTTTGTGAAGAGGTTTTCTAAATTTTTTATATGTATCAGGGGACACTGATAACATCAGATTGTGCTTATTTCAAATTTCAATCAAATGTGTGTGGTTCCTACAATTCCATAAAGAGTGTTTGATGATGTCACTTATAGTAAAATATATTTTATCACATAAGGCCCTTGCGATTAGTGACATCATCAAACAATTAGTTTTAGTGGAATTGCAGGAACCACACATGTCTGATTGAAAATTGAAATTGTGCTAATTGATATGTTCCAGATACACAAAAAAAATTTAGAAAACCTTTTTACCATCTCTTTTTAAACTTAATGAAGATAAAACTTGTTATTTGTTGTCTTTTACCATATATTTGGATATGCATCGTATCTTTACATGATTAGCAATACCTAGCACTATGCTAATACATGTAGTAATTTTTCCATTAATGAGATGTACACGGAATCTGACAAAAAAAGTCAATTTGAAGATGTGGTTAGAGAATTTGGGCTGTCATTTAACAAATACATATATGGTTGATTTGCTTTCAAAGTAGAGTCATATTCTAACTGTCATTGATCCTGTAAAATCACAAACAGTGGTATAGACAAATTACTTCCACTTATCTTTTAAGCCAATGAAATGATTTGTGCCAGCAGAGAGATATGAATAAGAACAGCAGCAGTCAAGGGGGTTAGTCTGATGACTCATACACCAATGTAATTATGCGAGTGTCAGTTGAAGATGGAAGTCTTGTCATATAGATTTAGTTATATAATCATTGTGAATTTCATGCTGACGAATTGTATTTTCCCAGACTTAACAAGTGGTTTAAAGTGAACATATGTTTAAATAGGTTCTGTGGTTGATTATAAGAGATTGAATTTGTACTGTGATTAAGTTAAGCTTGAAAAGGAATATAAGAAGGATAAAAGGAAAATCTAATGTAATAATGTAGTGATTTTAAATTTGTTTCTTTTGATCTGTTCAAAGATCAGTATACTTATACTTCCACAAGTGAGACTGTTTTCGTTAAAATCCATAATATGAAATTCACAAGATTTGAAATTTTATCATATATTTGTATAACTTTGGAAATCTGGCTATTTGATATGAAATTTAGTTGATTTAGTAATTGTTGAAAACTAAAGATCCAGATTTCTTAATCAGTGCAATAATTATGGTCAAATATGACTCTCAATTTGCTGTTTGCAAACTTACTTTGGTTTAACTTTCTTTAAATTTTTTTAAATATTGATAAAATTTGTTAAGAATATGTGTATTTTGTTCAGTTTTGAAATTGATGATTGTAGCCATAAATAGTAGATTTTTCATATGATTTTGGTACAACCATGATATGTTTGTGTACACATTAAGTTATGGCACTAGTTTGAACTCAAGAAAGCTTTAAGCTGCTACTTGTAATAATGTCACAGACTGTTAGTAATACCTAGTTGGATTGATCAAATGACTACTGTCTACCAGGTACAAGTCAGCAAACTTTACATGCTTAGTACATGAGTATCATTGCACTTGAATGTGCTTACTCTTCCAGAACACTAGTTACAGCCTAACTTTATTCATACCAAGTTTTTATTTCTCTAGTATTAGTAACAAAGGTTAGTGATTCTCATTGTAATTGTTTTCAATGTGCAACAGTGATTTTGAATAAGCATCATTTTTAAATGACTTAAGTATTGAAATGCTTTGTATTTTGCATGTTATCATGAAAATCAAGGTGAAGAATGTAGCTGCTGTTATAATGGTTTCTTTAATAGCTTCATTCTGGCTTAAATTCTGCAGGACATTTTGTATCATTCCTTGCCTTTTAGTTTTGATTTGATTTGAAAATAACAAGCAATATTAAGTGGAAAAAAAGGGAAGTTATTAAATCTTAACTTCTTTCATAAGTTTCTGGACATATCCACTTCATAAAAATGTCTATAGGATTGGTGTGCTGAAGATATTGATCTGTAGATCTAAAAACATCCAATTAAGCGTGAAAACATGTTTATTATAAATTCTGTCTGTAGTCTAAAATATAATCTAGTTATTGAATAATGTTATATTGTGTTTTATTTATGAAGGCAGTTATGGATTTCTAGAATTTTTTTATGGCTTAAGTTTTCTATATTACACAGGTTTAGACAGATTTCAGATTTTTTAAAAACAACAAAAATGATTTTGTTCATTGTAGGATTCATGATGTCATCCAACACATAATAACACACAAGAAACATAAGAAAAGATGATCTTAGCATTTATGGATGAACTGTACTTTTATAAGAGTTAGAAATAGTTTTGAATCAGGGTGTGTTCAGGTGCTATTTCATGAGAAAGACCTTGGTGACATTATGATTAAATATTAAATCTGGATTTCTTTTATACAGATGTAACCATTTTCATGTATTTATTTTTAAATCTATGTCCATAACTATGTCTGTGATATTTTAGTCTTCTCTCATGCTGTGTCATATTCATTACCAAACTCTATTTTCTATTTAAGGATGTAGACGTGGGAACAAGAAGGAAGAAGTAGAAAATTAAGGTAAGTTATTTTGAAGTTTTTAACTAGACAATACCAGGAAGCTTTGAAGCTTTAAAAAGAACAGTTGCTGAATAGACACTATCATCAAACACTTTACTATTGTCAATGTTGGCCCAAATCTTACTTTTTTCAACTTGTGGATCTAAGTCGTTTTTCCACTATCCAATCTTGTTTGGTCAACTAATCTGTGAATAATAGGTAAATTGTCAGACTGAGTTTGTGTTTCAAACAATAAAAATTCTTTCACATCTTGCTTAATAATATGATGCCCATATTCGGGTGCATAACAGTAGGACATGAGAATCTTCTTCATCTCATTAATAGAAAGAGAATTACTAGTTCCATGAAGTATAGCTTATGACCATTTAACATTCCTATCTAAATAAGCTTAGACATTTCCTTCTTTCATTTTCTTTGAATATTGATTCAGAATAAGATTTATGTCTATTTTTATTTAAACTTAATTTAGAGTAAAACATGTAGGTGTTAGATAAAACTGTGTAAATTATTGATTTGATATTGTATGTATTGGAAATTGTTGAATTATTCAACCTAGTCAAGTCTTAACATTACTATACAAGTATTATAGTAGCACTCTACAGACATTATATATTTCTTTGATTTGTTTAAATGACTTTTTATATCATTCTATATTTTCAATAAGTTTTGAAATTAATTGTTACTTGTAGGTATGTCATTTTTCAAAAATAGTTAGGATATATAAGCATAAAGTTCAAATATACTAGATATTGAAAATTTTCTATAAAGCTGTTTTGCTATTTTCTGAAATCATATTATCACGAATGCAGGCTGTGGTACAGGCAGATTGAAGCCAGAGAAAGTAAAACATACCTAGAGATAAACTTAAATAAATACCTGTTCAGAATCACTTTAATTTAGGCCGTGAAGAGGGGCTCTAATTTTGAAACACCCAATTTATCCTATATATCAATATTAACTGTGTTTCCACTGAGGGAAATAGCCAGCTTTAAACAAGCTTTTGTGTGTTTCCATAAGGCAAATTGCCAAACTAGTTCAGGTTGAGAACCGAAAACTTCTCTTTTTGGCGTTCGTCAATTCAGCCAAATGAAAGCTAGCTTAAAGCCAGCTTTCACTTTACTCAGTGGAAAGGCAAAAAGCCAGCTTTATCTCGATTCGGCAATAGGGGGCATACCCATCTTTCGGGACTATTGCATTTCTTGCTGGTCTAACAGTAGTCTTGTACATTGCGAGTTGTCAATATTGTCTGACTTTGATCGAGGCTAAAATCATTCGGGAACCATTAAAATTCCGTGCAAACGCAACACGTTTCGCAATAAAGCTGGCTTTAAGCTATTTTTTTAATTCTGGTGATTATTGTCATTCTTTAAGTGTTTGAAGTAAAACAAAGCTGCCAATGTTTGGTTGCATGGCAATCTATCTTCTCCTTTAATGTGTATGTATATTTTAGAATATTTTCATTGTTTTGTACTCCGATCAATTAAATACAATATTATTTTACGCTCAATATAGTGAAAGGATAAAAAGTCAATGTGTGATCATAACAATAATAACAGATATTGTTATTTCGTTATCATAGCAATAATTAAAAGACAAGGTCATTTGTGATACAAGGTCATTTTGTGATCCAAGGTCATTTTGTGATCCAATGTAATAATAAAAGACACGGTTATTTTGTGATCCAATGTAATAATAAAAGACACGGTTATTTTGTGATCCAATGTAATAATATGAGACACGGTTATTTTGTGATCCAATGTAATAATAAAAGACACGGTTATTTTGTGATCCAATGTAATAATACGAGACACATTTATTTTGTGATCCAATGTAATAATAAAAGACACGGTTACTTTGTGATCCAATGTAATAATACGAGACACAGTTATTTTGTGATCCAATGTAATAATACAAGACACAGTTTTTTTGTGATCCAATGTAATAATACGAGACACAGTTATTTTGTGATCCAATGTAATAATAAAAGACATGGTTATTTTGTGATCAAATGTAATAGTAAAAGACATGGTTATTTTGTGATCCAATGTAATAATAAAAGACACGGTTATTTTGTGATCCAATGTATTAATACGAGACACAGTTATTTTGTGATCCAATGTAATAATAAAAGACACTGTTATTTTGTGATCCAATGTAATAATACAATACACAGTTATTTTGTGATTCAATGTAATAATAAAAGACATAGTTATTTTGTGATCAAATGTAATAGTAAAAGACATGGTTATTTTGTGATCCAATGTAATAATACGAGACATGGTTATTTTGTGATCCAATGTTATAATACGAGACACAGTTATTTTGTGATCCAATGTAATAATAAAAGACATGGTTATTTTGTGATCAAATGTAATAGTAAAAGACATGGTTATTTTGTGATCCAATGTAATAATAAAAGACACGGTTATTTTGTGATCCAATGTAATAATAAAAGACACGGTTATTTTGTGATCCAATGTAATAATAAAAGACACGGTTATTTTGTGATCCATAACAATAATAAAAAACCAGGTCAGAACAGGTCATATATAATATGGTAAATAAAGGTCATTTTACAATCTATATATAGATTATGGTTATTTTGTACCTAATGTATTGTAAATAAAATATAAGGTAATAAAAGGACATATGTCAGATTAAAACTGTTAGAATTGATATGGAATAATTACCTTATAATATCTGTGATTATTGACATTTGTTTTTAGTTTATTTGAAATATAATCTAACATTCAATAAAAAGTTTATTACAAGTCATATTATGTTGGTTATTTACACAGTCAATATTGTTGACCTAAATCTATATGTTGAAATCTCCAATATATAATTCGTTGCTTGCACCTCAAATCGTCATTCATTGCACTTGTTAGAGTACTTGACACTGTTTACTCAAAAGAATTTTTTTCAACATTCATGGTGTTTTTAAAAGAAGTATGGATTCTTGATTATTAGACAATCAATAGAATTTAAAATTTTCACAGTCAAACAATTTTTAGCAAAATAATACATTTGAGACTTTCGTGTTAAGATGTGCAAATATCAGCAAGATCAAGTTCTGATCAGACATGACTGGCAAATAAATATTTCTGATAATCAGCTCTTGAAAGAAAAGGGTATTACACACACGAACACACACATCCATATTGTTTTATTATATTATAATCCTGTAAAAACACATGTCTGTTCTCCTGAAACTTGATATGTGATGATATTATTTATATATTGTAGAGATATGGAGAGTGTTTTAGGAAGATTACGTCAGTCTACTAATAGAATCCGTAAAACATCATTAGGTGGTACTGTCAGTAATGTCACTAAAGATGAAATTATTGAAACCATTGAAAAGTTCGAACCTCGTAAGTATCTGTTAAAGAAAGTTATGTATGTTTCATATTGAGATTTTCACTCGGCGTGTTATTTGTTTTTTTGCTAATGGTTCTAAATCATAATATTATATTCAAATATTTAATGATGCTAACTATAGTCATACATAGCTACCATTGTGCCAAACAAAGTATCTAGCTATGAGCATCAATGTTAAGATAAGCTGTTGTCCAGAGAAGAGAGAAACTGCTTTTAGGAAACTAGAAAAGTGTTTTCATTGGTATGAGATCGCTTTATAACATTTATAACATGTATTTTTATCAATTAATTTGCTCTGCTATTTTGTATAAAAAAATTCCTAAACTTGAAATCAATTGTTGCTTGTTGCCATCCTGTCACATATAAACTTGCATTTGAACACATTATTGTGATTGATGGTGAAGTAGACCATCTTAAATTATTTTTTTTAATTTAGAGAAACAAGAACCTGCATGTATTCATTATCACAAAATAATACATTTGAAATCTTCATTGATTGTTTGCATAAAAATCAGAGTTACTTCCTTTGGGACAATGTTCTCGTTAAGTGAATTGAATTTGACCTGCTGTTGATTGAACAAGTAATGCCAGTAAACCTACATCAATAGAAATATTTGAATATTCATAACTTCCCAGTCATCTATTGATAGGCGTACTAGTTTCATTAACTTTCTGTCTGATAGAAATGTCTGAGGAATTGAAAACAATTTAAAGTTACAGGAACTAAACATCTCATAAATCTTATTGAGAAAATTGGAATACAAATCAAGTTTGATTCAAGCCAAATTTTTATAACAATATGAACTTGCTGGTACATTATTGATTTGTTGATTTGAATTGATATTAATATTATTTTTCGAGAAATCTGATGTATTATGTCTTCTGTGATTTGAAAGCTTTTTGTGCACTTCCAGAATTTAAAAACTAAAAGACTTTTTTTGACAAATTATGATGAAAATTGGTGAAATAGTAAGTTTCTTTATCATCAAAGGATGGACCATATCAAATCTAAAAAAAATCAAAATATATATGATAAATCTTTGTAAAAAAGGTGAACCCAATGTTACCTAAATTAACAATCAATCTTATTTTTCAGCTCCCACACCTGAATCTGATAATAATAATATAAAGAGAGAAAATAGTCAAGAAAATGGCAGTCCAAATTCTGAATCTTCTAGTGCTAGTCATGCTCACTCTTACAGGTGAGTTGAATAGCTATTTTATATGATTTCAGTTTTGTTTACAATGAATATAACAACTAAACTTTATTATCCATCTGTTTTGTCTAAAAGAGGTGAAAAGTTAAGGTGACCTACAGAGGCAGGAGAAGTTTGCAGTTAGCTGAAGGCACAAAAATCTCTTATGGCCTGTGATATTGTGAATTCACCTCAATAATTATTGAACTTGCTTAGATTATACTTTTTTTTTTCAATGGCTCACAATTGTTATTTCAGCTCAGAATGGGAAAGATTATTTACAAGAAGTAATTATTATAAGAAATTACGAGACCAGGCCATGGATGGAAATTTACGATCCAGTAGATTTCGCTCTGTTTGTTGGAAGGTAAATATCATTTATTAAAGTTTTCTTGATGAATACAGTAGAAATGACGGCTAGCTGGATGATTTATGCCTTTTTCATTTTGGGAAATAGAAATCAGTTTTATTGTCACTGGATATAAGGAATCTGACATGTTTCCGATCCCTGTCTGTACTGTTTTTTATACTGGTAAGTGGTAACCATCTTGCAGATTGATAGGTTCACAAGTTGGTCTGATACCAGAACAATAATAACACTAGTTGCAGTTCTTATGTCTATAATTCATTAAATGAGTACTTGATGGTTGCAAAAGTTTTTTTCGATTAGGTAGATAAATCCCTCTTAGGCTTAGAACTTTACAGCCAACCCTCTTATATTAAGATATATTTGAAGTCATATGTTGTATTGAATTTATAATGAAGCTTGACATTGAAATGTATATAAAATGAAAGTAGGTTATAGATTAAATGTCATGTTATATTTGATATATGCAAATCAATTTACTTATACTACACTATGACTGGATTAATAGTGTTACTAAGTTTCAACTAGATTCTATTAGTATTTGTAAAATAAGATCAAAACAAATTGTATTTTGTATTTTTGATGTTAAGGTTCTGATTTAAGAAATCTTGATAAATCAACTATATCTATCATGTATTATAAAATAATATTATTTGTACCATAGCCTACGTCAAAATTTTAAACTACCGGGTAGGTCAATTTTTATACGCCCACATGCAAATGTGGACGTATCTTGCCGTCGCCCGTCTGTCCGTCGGTCCGTCCACATTTGTTGTATGCACGATAGAGGCTACGGTTTTTATCTGATCTTGATGAAACCTGGTTTGCTTGTATCTATTGATAAGATCTCAGTCAAGTTCGAAATTGATAATAATCGGATGAACGGTTTCAGAGTTATTGCCCTTGATATAGTAAAAACGCGTTATATTTGGCTTGTATGCACGATAGGGGCTGCAATTTTTATCTAATCTTGATGAAACTTAGAATGCATGTATATAGTGATGAGATATCGGTCAAGTTTGAATCAGATGAATGGTTTTGGAGCTATTGCCCTTGATTTTGTAAAAACCCTAAAAATTTGGCTTAAAGTCATCATACTGGGTGCAGTTTTTATCTGATCTCGATGAAACTTGGTATGCATGTATATATGGACAAGACCTCAGTCAAGTTGAAATTTTGAGTTATTGCCCTTGAATTAATTCAATGCGTTTAATTTGGCTTGTTGGTCTGATAGAGACTACATTTTGATACGATCTTAATGAAACTAGGTATGAGATCTCTGTAAAGCTTGAAATTAGTAAAAATAGGATGATAGGTTTCACATATTAAACCACTACAGACTTTGTTACTTTGTTATCATTTCTGACAGCTGGTAGTGGGTGTATGTTACCTTGCCTGTCAAGCTATCTTTATCAAAATCTTTCAAAAAAAAATTTATACTTAAAATCAGATTATTTTGATATCAAGGCAATTTGATTATTTTTCAGTTATTTTTAAAAGTATTACCTGATGATAAAGAGAAATGGATAGAATCAAGTCAAATGTGGAGACAACAATATGAGGACTTGAAAAATAAGGTTTGTAGTGTTGAGAGATTTACATACCTTTTTCATCTATTGTCACCATATCCAAATAATATAGGTAATTGTGTGTTTGAAACACATAAAGAGAGATATATAATTTGATAACCCCAAAGATATCTTTATAAAAAGCTGAATTTGAATTAAATATATTTTTTAGAAATATTAAATTTGTGTTCTCTCTATGAAGGTTTAAATAGTTCAGTGTATTTATAGAGTTGAAAGAAATCCCAACATCAGAAAATTAGTTATATCACAAGTTAGCTATTTAAATGACCTTTA